TTCTCCCACTGCCCCTCCACCTGCTCCTATTCTCCCTTTCTCTCTCAAATAAATAAAATCTTTAACAAAAAAAAAACAAAAAAACAAAAAAAAAAACTTCCAAGACAAAAAGAAACTAAAAGAATTTATGATCAATAAACCAGCCCTAGAAGAAATATTAAAAGGAATCCCTTAAGCGAAGAAAGAGCCCAAAAGGAACACAGACCAGAAAGGAACAGAGACAATATACAGAAAGTTACTTTATAGGCAATACAATGCCACTAAATTCATATCTTTCAATAGTTACTCTGAATGTAAATGGGCTAAATGCCCCAAACAAAAGATACAGGGTTTAAGATTGGATAAAAAAAAGCAAGACCCATAGATAAGCTATCTGCAAGAGACTCATTGTAGACACAAAGACACCTTCAGATTTAAAGTGAGGGGTGAAAAACCATTTATCATGCTAATGGACATCAAAAGAAAGCTGGGGTGGCAATCCTTACCTCAGACAAATTAGATTTTAAACTAAAGACTATAATAAGAGATGAGGAAGTACACTATATCAGAATTAAAGGATCTATTCAACAAGAAAATCTAACAATTATACATATTTATGCTCCTAACATGGGAGCAGCCAATTATATAAACCAACTAATAAAAAAATTAAAGAAACACATTGATAAGAATATAATAATAGTATCATACTCACTGCACTCACTGCAATAGACAGATCATGTAAGCAGAAGATCAAATAGGAAACAAGGACTTCAAATGACACACGGGACCAGATGGGCTTCACAGATACAGTCAGAACATTCCATTCGAAAGCAACAGAATATACATTCTTCTCAAGTGTACATGGAATATCCTCCAGAATAGATCACATACTAGGTCACAAATCAGGCCTCAACTGGTACCAAAAGACTAGGATCATTCCCTGTATATATTCAGACCACAGTGCTTTCAAAGTTGAACCCAATCATAAGAGGACATTTGGAAAGAACTCAAATACATGGAGGCTAAAGAGCATTCTACTAAAGAATGAGGGGGTCAACCAGGAAATTAAAGAAAAAACATTTATGGAAACAAAAGAAAATGAAAACACAACTATTCAAAAACCTTTGGGATGCAGCAAAGGTGGTCCTAAGAGGGAAGTATATAGCAATAGAAGCCTTTCTCAAGAAGCAAGAAAGGTCTCAAATACACAACCTAACCCTATACCTAAAGGAGAAATAGCAAATAAAGCCTAGACCCAGCAGGAGAAGAGAAATAACAAAGATTAGGCCAGAAATCATAAAAAAAGAAACGAAAAGAACAGTAGAACAGATCAATAAAACTAGGAGCTGGTTCTCTGAAAGAATTAATAAGATTGATAAACCCCAGGCCAGAGTTATCGAAAAGAAAAGAGAAAGGACCCAAGTAAATAAAATCATGAACGAAAAAGGAGAGACCACAACCAACACCAAAAAAATACAATTATAAGAACATATTATGAGCAACTATATGCCAACAAATTAGGCAATCTGGAAGAAATGGATGCATTTCTAGAGATGTATAAACTACCAAAAGCGAAACAGGAAGAAATAGAAAACCTAAACAGACCTATAACCAGCAAGGAAATGGAAGATGTAATCAAAAATCTCCCAACAAACAGAAGTCCAGGGTTGGATGGTTTCCCAGGGGAGTAATACCAAACATTTAAAGAAGAATTAATATGTATTCTTCTGAAGCTGTTTAAAAAAATAGAAAGGGAAGGAAAACTTCTAAACTTGTTCTATGAGGCCAGCACTACCTTGATCCCAACACCAGACAAAGACCCCACCAAGAAGGACAATTACAGACTAATAACCCTGATAAACATGGATGCCAAAATTCTCACCAAGATACTAGCCAATAGAATCCAACAGTACATTAAAAGGATTATTCACCACAACCAAGTGAGATTTATTCCTAGACTGCAAGGATGGTCCAACATCTGCAAATTAATCAGTGTGATACACTACACTGATAAAAGAAAGAACAAAAACCATATGATACTCAGTAGATGCAGAAAAAGCATTTGACAAAGTACAGCACCCTTTCTTGATTAAAACTTCATAGTGTATGGATAGAGGGAACGTACTTCAATATCATAAAAACCATATACGAAAAGCCCACAGTGAATATCATTCTCAATGGAGAAAAACTGAGAGCTTCCCCTAAGGTCAGGAACACAGCAAGGACGTCCACTATCACCACTGTTGTTCAACATAGGACTAGAAGTCCTAGCCTCAGCAATCAGACAGCAAAAAGAAATAAAAGGCATCTGATTAGCAAAGAAGTCAAACTCTTACTCTTTGTAAATGTCATGCTACTCTATGGGGAAGACCCAAGACTCCACCCCAAAATTGCTAGAACTCATACAGCAATTCAGCAGAGTGGCAGGATATAAAATCAATGCACAGAAATCAGCTGCATTTTTATACATTAAGAATTAGAAGAAACAGATAGTAAGGAGTTGATTCATTTACAATTGCACCAATAACCATAGGATACCAAGGAATAAATCTAACCAAAAAGGCAAAGAATCTGTACTCAGAAAAAAAAAATAGAACACTCATGAAAGAAGTTGAGGAAGACACAAAGAAATAGAAAAATGTTCTATGCTCATGGATTGGAAGATCAAATATTGTCAAAATGTCTATGCTACCTAGAGCAATCTATACATTCAATGCAATCCCTATCAAAATACCATCAACTTTTTTCACAGAGCTGGAACTAATAATCCTAAAATTTGTATAGAACCAGAAAAGACCCCGAGTAGCCAAAGGAATGTTGAAGAAGAAAACCAAAGCTGGTGGCATCACAATGTCGGACTTCAAGCTCTATTACAGAGCTGTAATCATCAAGGCTGTATGGTACTGGCACAAAAACAGACACATTGATCACTGGAACACAAGAGAGAACTCAGAAATAGATCCTCAACTCTATGGTCAACTAATCTTCAACAAAGCAGGAAAAAATATCCAATGGGAAAAGGGCAGTCTCTTCAACAAATGTGTTGGAAAAATTAGACAAGCCACATGCAGAAAAATGAAACCGGACCATTTTCTTATACCATAGACAAAAATAGACTCAAAATGGAGGAGAAATCTAAATGTGAGACAGGAATCCATCAAAATCCTAGAGAAGAACATAGGCAGCAACCTCTGTCACCTTGGCTGCAGCAACTTCTTGCTAGACACGTCTCCAAAGGCAAGGGAAACAAAGGCAAAAATGCACTATTGGGACTTCACCAAGATAAAAAGCTTCTGCACAGAAATGGAAATAGTCGACAAAACCAAAAGACAACTGACAGAATGAGAGAATATATCTGGAAATGTCTCATCAGATAAGGGGCTAGTATCCAAAATCTACAATGAACTTAATCAAACTCAACACCCAAAAAAACCCAAATAATCCAATCAAGAAATGGGCAGAACATATGAACAGACATTTCTCCAAAGAAGATAAACAAATGGCCAACACATGAAGAAATGCTCAACATCTCTTTGCATCAAGAAAAAACAAATCAAAACCACAAGATACCACCTCACACCAATCAGAATGGCTAAAATTAACAAGTCAGGAAACAACAAATGTTGGTGAGGATGCAGAGAAAAAAACACCCTCTTACACTGTTGGTGGGAATGCCAACTGGTACAGCCACTCTGGAGAAGAGCACGGAACTTCCTCAAAAAGCTGAAAATAGAGCTACCCTATGACCCAGCAATTGCACTACTACCAAAAGTACAAATGTAGTGATCTGAAGGGGCATGTGCACTCCAATGTTTATAGCAATAGCCAAACTACAATAGCCAAAATCTGGAAAGAGCCCAGATGTCCACTGACAGATGAATAGATAAAGAAGATATCAAATATATATACAATGGAATACTACTCAGCCATCAGAAAAAAGAAATCTTGCCATTTGCAACGACGTGGATGGAACAAGAGGGTATTATGCTAAGCCAAATAAATCAACAGAGAAAGATAATTATCATAATATCTCACTCATATGTGGAATTTAAGAAACAGAGGATCATAGGGGAAGAGAAGAAAAAACAGAACAAGACTTAATCAGAGAGGGAGACAACCCATAAGAGACTCTTAATCATAGGAAACAAACTGAGGATTCCTGGAGGGAAGGGGGTAGGGGGACGGGGTAAATGGGTGATGGAAATTAAGGAGGGGATGTGATGTAGTGAGAACTGGGTACTACATAAGACTGATGAATCACTGACCTCTACCTCTGAAATTAATAATACATTATATGTTAATTAACTGAATTTAAATAAAAATTTAAAAATTAAATAGTCAAGAGACAAAGAAATATAAAGCCAATATGATAAAAAAATGTCAATAATTACTTAATCTAGAAAACGGATATACTATTGTCTCTACTTCGGTGTTTGAAAAAATTTCAAATTAATAAAATAAATAATAAATAAATCTTAAACTTTTTATAGTAATGAAGGCATATGCAACCACAAATATTGTTGACTATATAAAGTTTAAGTTCATTTCCAAATCAAAGCTTTAACATGGCACCATGTCCAACTCTTGTACCATAGCAAGCCATAAGGTCACAAAATAATCCTATGATTAAAATTAGTTTGCTCTCCATTCTTCCAGAAGCAAAAGTGCAAGAGCACTGAAAATTTGGGGGATAAGTCTTGGTGTTTCAAATCAATCTTAAGTAATAATATTGTTTTGCTTTTAACTATACAAATCAGGTCATCTATTGTCCCAATATTCCAACCCATGCTTCTCAAATTATCAATTTCTCAGGCCAATTTGGTAGAAATTACCAAGATATATACCTGAGTGTGAGTGAACTTAGCTTTCTGAAACATGAAGACAATGGTAAAATACAATGATAAAATAAATTTAAAACAAAATGTACCAAAATATACCTTTTTAATGACAACTAAGACTGAGCCATAAGAGTTTTTTTAAAGCAAACACTATCTTCAAATATGTCTGAAAGTATCATATACCATTTGTGAAGTGTCCAAAGAAATAATTGTTCTTGTCTCATCTGCAGGACACATTAGGCCATATGATACACTTGTTCCTCCTGCCAAAATAGAAAACAATTTTAACATTTTATTTTTTAGCTACATTTCTAGGGCAAATCCCTAATACAAAGTATACAAACAGGCCCGCTAGAAAAGTAATACCTATTTCTACTTTGCAAAATGTAATTTGCAAATGCTAACACACTAAAAGCACACTCACCTTTATTTTATGCTGCATGCCAAAATGAAGAAATATTATGGAGCTGAAAGCAATGGGATATGGCTCCATCCCCTGGGCACACTCAAGTGACGCCCCTAGCAATTTGTGAAACTCCAAAAACATGATTAGAAAAATTCTAAGCTAATGATTACTCTGGAGATATTGCTTAAAAGAAAAAATACTTCCTAATTCAACTAAAGACACCTTACCTTAATTATAAAATTCACTTATCATTTGAAATATCTTATATTGTCATACAAAAAGACTTTAATAAATTAGAATATAAGCAAGTTAAAATTGCCCAGATTATATTATATTCAAACAAATATATATGTTAATGATGAAAAGGTGATTTTAATATAGAATAAATATATACAAGTATATAACCAATGTACTCCTGTTTCCCATTAACATTTGCTATCAAAGGAAAAATGTTTTCTTGATACCAACATAAAATAATACTGCGTTTAGTCCTTAACCATCTGTCTTACCATATACCAGAGTAAATTCTTAATTGGTATTTCCATGTGTCTTGGATAAAAAAAACTCTCGATACGAGTAAGAATTACAGGAGGTGGAGACCTACTATATTCAGTTTACTTTTACAAGGTGAGACTGTGAACTGTCAATTAAGAGCATGCCTGTAATTAGTAAATACTATTTGCTTGTCACAGTCATTTGAAATCAGAAAAATATTTCACTAAAAGCAGCACTGTAGTGCCTTTTTTGTTTTTCATGAATTAAAAGTATCAGCTGAAGAAGGAATCTGGAACTGATCTGTTTGGGGTCCCACTTCTGTTTCATCAAAGCTAACTGAATCAGTGAAGTCAATTTCCTTTGGCTTGTATAGGTTATTAGAATGTGGCTGATAAACGATCAAGAGATCAAATTTGTCTTAAAGGCAAATTTGTCTTAAAATGCAAAGCAATGTTAGTTTTCAACATTAAAATGTATTACTGATCTGGTCATCATTGTCCTAGTTGATCTTTCACACTGCATAGTGTTCCTTCTCAAAAGTATATATTGGATATATTTAGCCTCTGAAAAATAACGTTCTCTCCATAAAGAAAAAGGTTAAAAAAATAATTACTAAGGTGGGAACATTTTCTTATTTAAGCATTAAGTCACAGTGTGAATTGGGATCTATATGGCAAAGAACCCATGAACAACATGTTTCAAACAGTCTAGGTGATAGATCTACTCAAAAATGAGCATAAAAAATTTTTTTCAGAATAATCATATCATAATTACAAGAATGTTTGCTTTCAATGAGATGATATCAATATTTAGAATACAAATAATTTAAATAAAAATAAAAATTAAAAACACATTTACCATATTAAAATTTAAAAGGCACAATACCTACCACCAATTGGTATGATACAAAGGTTATATTTGCACGCTAGATTCACAATCTTAACTACATCATCATGACATGCTGTTGAAAAAAAAAAAAAGAAAAATAAATTAATCACAGGGATATGAACAAAATCTGGGTAACCCTGCAAAGTAAAGGTCCATGAAGTTCTTTAGTGTATAAACTTTTTCTTTCTTTATTCACTCATTAACACACATTAAACAGCTATATTAAAACAAAATGTTTACTATTTATCTTTTTAACTTTTTACTTTTAAATGATTTCATACTTACAAAAAGGTTGTAAAAAGGGACAAAGAATTTTCTTCATCCAGCAGCCACAAATATTAACATCTTATATTTTCAATTATCAAAATCAAGCAATTTACTATTACACAATACTATTAACTAATACATAGGCCTTATTCAAATTTTGCCTATTGTTCCACTAATGTCCCCTTTTTTCTGCACCAGCCAATCACACACTGTATGTAGTTGTCATGTTTCCTTACTCTTCTTTATATTTTGTTTTGAAAGATTTTATTTATTTATCTGACAGAGAGAGAGAGAGAGAAAGTGTGCACAAGCAGTGGGAGCTGCAGGCAGAGCAAGGAGCCTGATGTGGGGCTCAGTCCCAGGACCCTGGGATCTTGACCTGAACAGAAGACACACACTTAACTGACTGAGCCACCCAGGGACCTCTCCTTACTCTTCTTTAATCTGAGAGAGTTCCTCAGTCTATTTTTTATATTCATGGCCCTGACACTTTTGAAAAGCACTGGTCAGTTATGGCATAGAGTATCTGCCAATTTGGGTTTCTGCCTCATCATTAAATTCAGGTTACACATCTCGGCAGGAATTCCACAGAAGTGATGTTGTGCCTTTCTTACTGAGTAACATCTGGAGGCACGTGATACAGCCAGGTCTCATTTCTGGTAATGTTAACTTCCATCCTTTGGTTATAAAGTATCAGCTAGGTTTTTCCACTATAAGAACACTATAATTAATAAGTATCTTGTGGGGAGATAGTTACTCTATATAAATACATTTCTCATCATACTTTCACCCACTAATTTTTGCAGCCATTGATTCTCTACTGTTTTTTAAGCAATTTTTAAAATGCTATACATAATGTACTACATATATTCCTTTCTATTGTACACAACTAAAGAGTACTCTTTATCAGAATAAAAGTTATATGAGTAAAAAAAAACCTGACAACAGAAGTTCTTAGATACAAGACACAAGATGCTAAACCTCAATTTGACTAGCAATAAAGCATTAAGTCAGGGACCAACATGGCAAAGAAACTATCTGAGAAAGATAAATCTTTCTCCATTTAATATGGCATGGCAAAGAAGAGAAAAAGACTTGACGCAAGGAAACAATGCAAAAATCAAGTATTACCTGCTAAGAGCTTGAAAGGGAAATTAAGGATGTAAAACATACAAGTGAGTATCTGTGGGGGCCAAGAAAAACAAGGCTGTACCCACCTCGAGTCTAGCCCTGACATAAGTACAGCCATCTTGGCAAAGCGGAGGCTGGCACCTTGCACCCCCTTCTCCACCCGCTCCCCTCCCCTCGGTAGTATGTGTGACATTCCTCAGCCACCCCTGGCTGCCCTAAAAGAAAATCAAATAGTTAATTTGCAGAGATCACAATCCTGCAAGACAGGAGTCTCCCTTGGTTTACCAATGTCCTAGAGATTTATAACAAAGAAGCTATCTTAACAATAGCACAATTTCCAGAGGCAATAACTCAGTTCCTTAAGCCCTAATGTCGCCCTCCCCACCATAAAACTGAAGGAGGCTGAGGCAGAAGGAAATGTAAATAAAGTTAAATTTCTTCTAAACCTAAATCTCACTAACAAGGAAACTTGATAGGAGAAATGTGAAACTTTATCTCTAAAACTCCAAGATAGTGTCAGCAATCATTTCCAAGCATATGACCCACTGATATACATCTAAAGGGTCTCACAAGAAGATTTTTATTATTGGTAATGAATAACCTTTTCCCCAGACAACAGCTAGCCCCTCAAAGCCCTGGAGACCTCGCTTCCAAAATTCCTTAGAGACTTACATCATCAATAACCCCCTTTGTCCTCACCCACCGCCGAGTCCACCCCTACTCTGCCTTTAAAAACTCTGACTGTAATCTGGCTCGGGGTCCAAGTCCCTACTCTGCTGTGTCGGGTATACTTGGGCCCAAGCTTAAGCTTGTCAAATAAACCCTCGTGTGATTGCATCGGTGCTTGGCTCCTTGGTGGTCTCTTGGACGCGAAAACTCGGGCATAACAATATCCATTAATGAAAGTAAAAATATTGTTCTATAAGAATTATCATTTCTCAGGTTTGTTTAAAACTAGGAATATGTCATTTGTGTCATTCCAATTTTTAAAAAATGTTTTATTTATTTATTTGACAGAGAGAGAGATCACAAGTAGGCAGAGAGGCAGGCAGAGAGAGAAGGGGGGGGGGGAAGCAGGCTCCCCGCTGAGCAGAGAGCCCGACGCGGGGCTCAATCCCAGGACCCTGAGATCATGACCTAAGCTGAAGACAGAGGCTTTAACCCACTGAGCCACCCAGGCGCCCCGTGTCATTCCAATTTTTAATAAAAATCCACTTTAAGCTTTCAGATTAAGCTTATAAAAATTACTATGTGTGGTAAAAATTTTTACTAAGTGGAATACCAGTTGATTAATAACTAATAAAATACCCAAACAAAAATCCTTTAACAAGACTAAACTACTTCTAGGACTGTCACCTAATCAAAAGCTTTCTTCAACCACGCTATCTGACATAGCACTCCCTCATCCCACTGCTCACCTATACAGCTCTCTATTTTCCTACTGTGCCTTTTCTTCACAGCACTTATCCCTGCTCAATACATTATACATTCATTTCTCTTTTTCCTGTCTCCTTCCTCACTAAATTGCATGGCACCTGAGAACAGATTTTTGTTTTGTTCACAGCTCATCCTTAATACCTGGAACAGTTTCTAGCACTTATTTTCACAGGCCTAAAGTTTTGGTATTTAGACAGTTAAAAATAATGAATAAATACTAAGTTTAATAAGTCAAATGATTTAAAAATATGTAATTGTTAAGGGAGACTTTATTTTTATAAGCATACTTACCCACAGACAACATAAATGAGTGACTATTTGTCCAAACTAAGTGAAAGGCAGAGATATTCACACTGTGTTAAGGGTCACAATGGTGACAAATCCTGGTTTAAGGATGAGTCCAAATCATAAAAATTACATATATTACAAGTTCTTATGCTTAGATAAGTCCTAGACATCCTATTAAAGCAAATATATAATTCAGATTCAAATTATAGCCAGACTTAAAGACATCCACAAGGATAGATCTCCTAGGTATGTGTATCCATACAGGGAGTGTGTGTGTGTGTGTGTGTGTGTGTGTGTGTGTGTGTGTGTGTGTTCAAACTGTAGGATAAGATAGCCGCCTCCACTCTGTGGCATACCACACTGTCTCAAAACTTGCCCTCATTCAAAGAAAAAACCCAAACTTTATCACCAACAGAAAATTTACATTAAAGTTAAATAAAGGCCTCAGAGATCTGATAACCTGTTGAGGGGGGAACTATTTCTAAGAAGTCATTATACTGAAAGATTCAACAGAATAAAATTATAAACTTACTTCAGGCATCTTTATACTATTTATATAGATTCCTAAGGTACGGAACATGATGGTAAAGAGAATATTTTAGAAAAACTAATCTCTCAAGAGTATATGGGACGGTTGGTGGGAACAAGAAACTTGAAGCATGAGAGAGAACCTTACAGGCTATTAAGAAAAATCCAGCTATGTGTTGATAAGGGCCTGATTTGAAAATTGATACAGAAAAAAATAAAAAGGACAACGTTTTAAGGGAACTGCCAAATGGGACAGATTTCACAGAACAAAGAAAACTTTTATGCAACAACAGACTAAATTGTTTCCTAAATCTGGATTCCTAAATCATGTTTCCTAAATCTGGATTTTTTGAAATATTTGTATTTCCTAAAGCAAGACCTACATTTTCATTATGGTAATTTCTCAGTATTTTAATAGTCAGACACATGAAGAAAATACCTAGAAGGCATGCTTGAAAGTTCTACTCAAGATACATCATCAAAAGATGGTCTATTAAAGCTTCCTATGGAAAATGAAAACTGGTAAGTTTTGCTTTCATTTTTTCCAGTAAAAAAATGGAAATAAATCCTCCCCAAATCTTGGTAAAGAAGTAGCCTAAAGCTACTAAAAGAATACTGGGAGAATATATACCATAAGTATCAAGACAGTAATTTAATCTCAGCTACACATGCTCTTGGATTTTCCTCCTATGTATGTCACCTCCCTCCTACCTCTCTCTATATTAAAGTATGATTTTCTCCTTCAGATACTCCCTGTAAAGGGATCCTGTAAAGTAAAAGGATCACATCTAAAAACAGATAAGCCAACTTCTGAAAAATAAAATACTCCATCTACTCCTTTAATAGAATCTAAAGAGGAAAAAGGACCATACCACTGGAACTTTTTTAAAATGGTAATGATGGACAGTAAGGTACACTATACCAATTCTGCTTTAAATTTTCTACTAAGAGATAGATATAAAAATCATATAAATATACTGTCTAATCATCAGCAAGAGCAAAATAACATAAAGCTCATCCATCCTCTTTCTTGAGCCAAAATCATGAATGATATTAATTTTTCAGAATTTAATTATTATTTTTTTTAAAGATTTTATTTATTTATTTGACAGACAGAGATCACAAGCAGGCAGAGAGGCAGGCAGAGAGAGAGGAAGCAGGCTCCCTGCCGAAAAGAGAGCCCAATGTGGGGCTCGATCCCAGGACCCCGAGATCATGACCTGAGCCGAAGGCAGAGGCTTTAACCCACTGAGCCACCCAGGCGCCCCAGAATTTAATTATTTATATCAAAGACAACGGGTATCTTAAACAATTTGTTTCACCATTTGGACATAATGCTTTTTAGGCCACAAGCTGATATCAACAAATTACTACAACAAATTTGCAGGAATTAATAGTTAAGAATTTCTCTACCTCTGAATATATCATTGATTGATACTAATTTCATTAAGCTTTCAAACTAACCAGAAATACATTTTTTTAACTGACCTCCCAATATGATATTAACATTTAAAATGAAAACTTAATCATCAGCAAGATCAATCATGAAAACCAATAGTTCAGAATGCTCAGATCAAGAAAGAATTATATGACTTTTGGTAAACTTTAAAAGTAGAGCTACCTGTACTTTTTACAACTCCTATGTTCAAAAGTACATATTTCCAATACTAAATTTACTTAAGATTTCACAATACTAAATTAATGACACAAAGAAAAGAAGAACTTACTTGGCCATAAAACTATATCAGGAATTCGCTGAAACATTCCTTCCCTGAGCAAAAATATCTCATGAAGACAATGACCTGTTTTGCAATTTAAAAAAGAATATGTAAAAACATCTTAAATTATAGGAAATTTTAAAATTAAAATCAAATAGTGCTTTTATAAGGTTGCTTACCATGAGCTCTAAATACTCGATCATCTGCTTCTTGTGAATATGAAATATTAGTCTCTTTAAGGTCATGAAGAAAATCTTCATTTACAATAGAAGGAGGTGTATCACTAGGATTTAAGGATGCCTAGAAAATAAAATTGGTTTCTTTGACTTATTTCTAGAAAATAAATTCTGAATATCTGGTTAGGACAGTGACCATAAAATGTAAATTTTTAATATCCGAATTGAGACAAAAGCATGAGAAAATACCAAGTAACACATATGGAAACCAACTCTGTGACAATAACAAATTATAAATGGTCCAGTTAATCACATTCTGTAACATAAGTTATAGAAGCCATATGTTTCCTCTTTTGCATCTATGCCCCACTTTTTCATTGTTTCTGAAGACTGCAATCAAGAACAGAGAAGATGGCAAAGTCTCAAATCTCTCATTTTAGATCAAGGAAACTGGGGAAAAGCTAACTTTTTTCATCATCTACATTTTCACCTGTAGATAAATTTACCATTTCTTATAGTTCAATTATTATTTTAAAATGATCAACAAGAAACCTCATAATAAGTAACAGGTCCATTTTCACAGAACTGCTTTAAAACTTGTAACATTATAATTTGATACTTAATTTCAACTAAGAGGTAAGCTGGGGGAAAAAAAATCTTTAACTTTAAAGTTATGCAACACCGGGGAAGTCACAACTTTTCTGGACCCTGGCTTCTTCATCTATTAAATGAGATTATCACCACTAAATTTATACAACTACCATAAAGAAGAAAGGTTAAATGTCATAACTTTTATGAAAAGCACCAAAAACCTGCCTACCATATATGTAGGCAGCCTCTTCTCATATGTAAGAAGAGGCTGACCAAATCAAACCTGCTATTAAAAAAAAAAAAAAAGAAAAGAAAAAGCTATGCTACAGTATTTGGAAAAAAGAAAATATAAGAATGTGTAAAAAAAAATATGATATTTACATATTGTTAGTATCTTATTAAAGGGTCTGTATTTAATATTCAATTATATGAGAAATATTTATTGAGTGTGTGTTATATACTTGGCAGTGTTCTAGGCCTTGGGGATACAGCAGTGAGATAATCAGGTAAAAAAAATCTTGACCTCAAGGAATTTATGCTATGGTGAAAAGAAATGGCCATAAGGACCCCAACAAAACATACATATTACTATTTTGTTGTTAAAAATTGAAAAGGGCTCAAAATCAGAAAAAAATGCATGTAAAACCGGTGAAATTTCCAAATATGGTATACGGATTGCATCAATGTAAAAAAAAAAAAAAAAGTAACTACAAATAGTCAAAAGAAATAATTAAGGAAATAAAAAAAGATCTTTTAAGAAAAGTTGAAAGAATTTGGTTTAGGAGGGGTAAAAATTAGCTGTTAACATAATTTGCTTAGAATAAAATATAACTGTGGATTTAGAAATAAATCAAACAAGCAGTAGCTGAATATTTAAGTCCTTAATAACATGTTGGATACAGTAGAGAATATAGTATAAGCCACAGTCCCTGCACTTACAGAACTTACATCCAGTTAGAGGGACATGCAGAATACCATCTCATAGCAAATAATGAATAATAAAAACCATAAAGAAATGCTATTTTGTTAGTTTGATATGAATACAGTTTAAAGTTTTTTAACCCTAGCTTAAGAAAAGTGAAACTACATGAACTAAAATTATCATTCATATCTTAATCTAATTTTTATTTTTTCATAAGTCTTCTAATATTCTAAATGTTTTGATATTAAATGTAAAATTACATTTATTTCAAATTATTCTATATTAATTCTGGATTACTGTCACTCCATTAAATATCCTAAAATTAATAGCAACTGATAATATTTTTGTAACAGTCCTCCCACAGAATTAGTTCATGTGCATTTTACTACCACCCTATGAAAGGTAGAATGGATAGTTATTGCTCTCATTTCTCAAATTAGGATAACTAAGGCTCAGAGAAGATAAAAAGTTTACCAGACAAATCTCAGATAAATTTTGAGATTGGGATCTAGATCTGTGATGCTAAAAAGTCATCCCTAGAAAACCCAGCAAGGCCAATAAAACCAGTAAACTTCTTAACAAAAAAAAAAAACAAACAAACAAAATTACAACAAATGCATTAAAGCAATTATAACAAATTACAAAGATAAATCTAACTGATTTGGGATTAAACACATGTCCATGCACACACAGACACACCCACACAGACTTAAACATACTAGTCATCATTCTTATTTGCTTACTTTAGAGGTAGTTTTATGCTCCAGACTTACTCCAAGGGTATTTTGGATCCAGTCTTTAAAAGTTGGTAAAATCATACCACTAAGAGGGTACCTAAGATTACAAAGAAGATAAAACATTAGAGTAAAGGATCTTCATTTAAATTTAAATCTTTGCTTTGGCTTCTAATAATGGTCAAGTTGTTCCTATTAAAACAACACCCTCTCCCCCCACATATAACTATAAACTCTGGACAAAAACAAAAACAAAACACAACTCTGAAGGCAGTACAGACAGACAAAAGCAGGCAATAATAGAGGGTAGGGGGTGTGATACACTTAGAAAAAGTAAACAGCATTACGTAAGTTTCCAAGTTTTTTTATTTTTAATATAGGTTTTAGAATGAGGGACAGCCCAGTGGTACCAAAAACGAAAACAAAAATACAGAAAATCTATTGTCTTCCTGCCTTGAAAAACCAGAAGGCAGTATTTGCAGTGAACACAACAGCTGGGAAGAGTCTCAGAAATCACAGAAAAGGAGAGAGTCATTGAGTGATGTATGTATAAACTCTGTCCAAATGCTTAGCTGACCTTGAATTACACACATATGGAGCCAACTTGAAGCAGCCCAACGAAGCTTAAAAGAACTCGGTTGCTCTCCACCACAGAGGGAAATGGGAATTTGAGAATAGTCAAGTTAATTACTTGTTGTTAAAAAAATTAATAAAGCCCCTTCAGAAGAACATAATAGAATACAGGGTTTCTACCACAGACTATTTACATTGTCCAAGATGCCCTCCAAAATTACTAGACACAAACAAACAAGAAACTGTAATCCATAATCAAGAGAAAGAGCAATAAATAGGGACTGACCCTAAGAAGAACTAAGACACTGGAAGTAGCACACAACCATTTTAAAATGGCTATAGCGATGTTAAAGGACAAATGGGAAACTGTTTCCAGTGAGAATGAAAAAATCTCAGCAGAGAAACAGAAATTATAAAAAGAAACAAACAGAAATTCTATATTTAGAACTTTTAAAAATTCATTGAAAGAACAGAAGGGCAGACTGGAGATGCCTGTAAATGTACAGATAAAGTAAAGTAAAGCGTAAAGTAAAGTAAAATGTACAGATATGTTTTATTAACATATACAACCCAAAGGGCAGAGAAAAAGATTGAAAAAATAAACAGCTTCAAAAACCTATGGAACAATAGCAAAAGGCTAATATAATATATATATATATAAAATATACACAACATACATACAGAGTCCCAAGAAAAAGGAAAAAAAAAAAAAAGAGGGAAATAGAGTAAAACTACTGGAAGAAATAATGGCAAAAAGTTTCCAAATTTAATGAAAGATATACATTTACAAATTCAAGAAGGCCAAAAGACACTAAGAAAATAAATGCAAAGAAACTCACACTACGCACATCATAGTCAAACTACAATTTAAAAGAAAGAGAAAAAGAGGGAGAAAGAAAATGTTAAAAAGCATCTAGAGAAAAATGACACATTACATACAATGTAGTAACAATAAAAATTATGACCAGCTTCTCATCAGAAACAATGAAGTCCATGAAAAAACTGAACATTTTTTTAAATTATTTATTTATTTATTTGACAGAGATCACAAGTAGGCAGAGAGGCAGACAGAGAGAGAGAGGAGGAAACAGGCTCCCCGCTGAGCAGAGAGCCCAATGTGGGGCTCGATTCCAGGACCCTGGGATCATGACCTGAGCCAAAGGCAGAGGCTTTAACCCACTGAGCCATCCAGGGGGCCCAAAAAACTGAACATTCTTAAAGTGCTGAAAGAAAAAGAATTTCAACCTAGAATTCTGTATCTGGTGAAAATATACTTCAAAAATAAAAGTTAACTAGGAATGACTGGGTGGCTCAGTTGGTTAAGCCACTGCCTTTGGCTCAGGTCACGATCCCAGGGTCCTGGGATCAAGTTCCGCACTGGGCTCCTTGCCCAGCAGGGAGCCTGCTTCTCTCTCCTCCTCAGCCTGCCACTCTGCCTGCTTGTGCACTATTGCTCTCTCTCTCTCTCTCTCTGACAAATAAAAAAATAAATAAAATCTTTAAAAAAATAAAATAAAATAAAAGTTAACTAAGACATTTTCGGATGAAAACTGAGAGAACCTGGTTCCAGCCGACCCATACTACAAGAAATGGTAAAGTGATTCCTATAGGCCGAATGGAAATACAACACTTAATATAAACTGAAATCTTCAAGACAGAATAAATAACAGAAAGTAAATAAGTGGGTAAACAAAATGACTTTTTTCTTAATTTCTGTCCAATATTTATGGCTTCTAAAAATTCTATCATGGAACTAGAGGATATTATGCTAAGTGAAATAAGTCAATCAGAGAAAGACTTATATGATCTCACTCATATGTGGAATTTAAGAAATAAAAGAGAGGATCATAGGGGAAGAGAGGAAAAAATAAAACAAAATGAAACAAGAAAGGGAGACAAACCATAAGAGACTCTTAATCACAGGAAATAAACTGAGGGTTGCTGGAGGGGAGAGGGGCAGAAGGATGGGGTAACTGGGTGATGGACTTTAAGGAGGGCAGGTGACACAATAAGCACTGGGTATTATATAAGATTGATGAATGACAGACCTGTACATCTGAAACTAATAATACATTATATGTTAATTAATAAATTAGAATAACAAATAAATATTAAAAATAGCCCCCAAAACCCAAATTCTATCACTATGTCATAGAGTTTATGATGTGACAACTATAAAAAGAATACAGAATGACAAATAAACCTACAGATTTCAAAGATACTTAGATTTTACATGAAGTTGTACAAGAAATTTAAAACACACAAGAGTTCTATAGAGTAGGAACAGTATGGATAAAACTAGATTTGCTACTCAGATTTCATTTCCTACATTTCCATACCAATCCTTAAATAGTTTACATGAAATATGAACATTATTTTATATACACAAGAAATCCTAAATTATATATATATATAAAACTTAGGATTATTATATATACTTATATATATTATTATATTATTATAATTATATACATATATATATATAAACTGATGCAGAAAACTCAAGTGCTTTGAAATACAGCTTTTCACTTTTGGAAATACTTGTCAGAGGTGGCAAAATATTAAATAGCAGTAAGTGCTAAAAATAAAGACATAAAATAAGTCTAGATTAGTGTAGTGAAGAAGGCAAACAATAATGACCCAGTGTGTTATAACAGCACTAATATAATAGCTCTCTGAAAAGACCAAAACAACATTTTAAAATGTGTATTTTGAAACAGTACTTTAAACTTTTTACTTAAATAAACACATACCATTATCATGTGCCAGGCATTGTTCTAAGTGTTTTATGTATATTAACTTATAATGTTATGAGGTTTGTGCTATTATCCCTATTCTATAGATGAGGAAGGCAACAGAAATTAACTTAAGGTGTGAAGTACTTAAGTAACTTAATCAAGGTTACACAGGTAGTAAAAATTACAAAACCAGGATCTGAATCAGGTAATAAGGCTTCCGTCTGTGCTTTTAACCACTACATGATGCTGCCTTTAGTTTGATTCTTCCCTTACCACCATTTTAAGTGAGATCATTATCCTAAAATTCTTTATGAATGATATTTATAAAATCATGGTACTTACATTCAGTAAATTTTTTTCACTACAATGTTCTCACAACTTCCCTACTCCCCCAATAAAATGATGATGAGACAGCCAAATAACCTATATTATAGCTACATTATTTTTGTTTGATTTTATAAATATTTTACCTATACATAAATGTATGTAAAACATACATTCAAAAATACAGACAAATAAGTCTGGAGCTGAATGAATTTTTACAAAGTAAACCTCCCATGTAATCACCATTCAGATCCAGAAATAGAACACTTACTGGTACCCCAGAAACACTCCCCTTCATGCACTTTCCAGGCACATCACCTTCCCTCATACCCAAGGAATCACTATCCTGTTATCATCACAGAGTAATTTTGACTGTTTCAGTACTTTATATAAATGAACTCAGATAAAATGTACTCTTCTGTGTTAGCCCTCTTTTGCTCAAATACTATATTTGTGAGATTTATCTTTTTTGATACATCTTGTTAACATTCATTCATTTCCATGGCTTAATTCCACTGTGTGAGTATAACACAGGTTTCTTTATCCATTGTATTGTTGATAGACAACAGTGTTTAAGGTGCATGCAGGGACATTCCTGAAGTTGTTTTCTCAAGAATGTACCACATTTTTCTGACAGGTATATAACTAGAGTGGAACTTCCAGGCCATAGTCTATGCATATGTTCAACTTTAGTAGATATTGGTAGATAAGTTTTCCAACATGTTTACCACTAACAGTGCTATATGGACTTATTCCACATCCTTCCCACACTTGGTGCTGGGAATGAGAAACACTCTACTGGTAATCTCTTAACCATTTTAGTTTGAATTTCACTGGTTACATATGGGTTTGAGTTTCTATCCAAATGGATAATAGATACATGAATATTGTTTTCAATGCCAGTTCATCTTTTGCTCATTTTCCTATTGGGTTACTATTGTTTTCTCATCAATATATAAGAATTATTTACATATTCTGAAATCAAAGACTATGTATTAAATATTTTCTTCTGATTTATGACTTGCCTTTCATTCTCTTAGTGGAGTCTTTCAAAGAAAATAAGTTTTATATTTTAGTATTATCTAACTGATTCATTTTTTTCTTCTGTTATAAAAGTTAATACTTTTTGTTCTCTACTTTTTGACAACCTTAAATTCAGAAAAACATTCTGCATATTCTCCTAGCAATTTTACAGTTTTAGCCTCTACATTTAGGTCTACAGTCTATCTGGAATTGATCTCTGAAGCTGACATGAAGTAACATCAAAATTAATTTTTTCCAAGATGATAGTTTAAATGGATCTACGGCAATCTTTATTTCCTGCGTGTGTGTATGTGTGTGTGTGTGTGTGTGTATTTAAATGGAGAAAAGAAGAAATACTCTAATAGTCACTACCCATTCCAGATCAAAAAACAATTTAAAAAATAATCATTAAACATGGGCACCTGGGTGGCTCAGTGGGTTA